AAGTGTGAGATGAGTCTGGCAATGTGTAATTGATAGAAATCGGTCAGGTGTTTTGGCCACTAATAAGTACTTATTGGCCCTTCAAGTACTTCTTACTTTACACTCATCCAGTCCGCCACGTTTGGCGCATGGAGGCACTCTGGTAGAAGAAACGAGACGAGTACAGTGGCACTTCAGAATCGGTCTTGAAGTTTTCGCTCTAGGCCTGCAAGTATAATTCCCAAAGAATGGTCCTCAACCTTATACTTCCTGATCTGCGAAAGTACTTGCCCGTTAAAGGTGAAACTTGGTGGACTCGAAGTCCTGGTTAGGGGCATGAAGTCTAACAAATACTGGGTGAACGCAAGTTGCGTGGACAGATGTGAGAGGGAAGTTTGTATGGGACATGTGGGCGGGGCCTGTCTTTGACCCCAAAAACATGGCGTCAAAAAGCCCCACTCTCGCACCTACGACTATCCAGTCTAGTTATACGTATTATATACATGTCTATGGTATATGCAATAGCCGAAATGTTATGACCTGTTCATTAATCCAGCGCTCACAGCAATTCCAAATGAATCGATGTTTTGAAGGTCGCATGCATGCGATTGCTCAACTCATGACCCTGAAATTATGTGTCTTGAGAAACTTATGAGACTTGAGAAGCGTATATTTCCTAATAGCAGCATGGATATGGGACGAAATAAGCAACGAATATCCTCATGCAACGCCTCCTGGGGAATTTGCAAGTTCCACAGGTTACAAGTACTTGAAGGGTCGTGTCTTTTTGTTCGACCCTTCCAGCTGGTATTGCTAGCCCTTCGCACGACTACAACACGACCATCGTAATTACTAGTAACCTGTAGAATTTGTAAATAGCATGAAACAGGCCCCTGGACATCCGTTGGATGTACTACAAAAATTTTCGTAGCACGAAATTTGAACGCAGGTAAATATCCCTGGTACAAAAAATTAAATGTCATCCTGTACTTTCAAAAAAGTGTTATTTACGCATACATGCAAAAAAAGTATGCAACGTTTTCTTGCACTATGATATAGGACCACTAGGTTCACACTCGTGGCGCATGTTCACTTCGACCTTTGGTTGATAACTCATTTCACCCACAGTCTCTATAGTCTCCCAATCACATGCAATGTTGCTCATAGCCAAAAGTGTTGTAATCCTACTTTTCGTTGCAGCTCCTGGAGTTAGGTAATGATGTCGACTTATTTTCTTGTCTTCAATGCAGTTAACTTTTTTTTTCAACTGCTAAGCCTCGTTTGTCACGGTACAAGGTCCCCAGCATGTTCAAATACTTTGGGGGTCCGGAAAGTAATGAGAACCGTTTGTAAATTTTTAATTCTGCAAGCAATGCTCTTCCCACTGCACAGGCATTTAGATCAATATGTAATTTCTGTGAATGCCGATTTTCAAGTCAATCCGTTGAGAAGTGATTACAGAGCAGACCTCAAAAGATAGCTCTATAACTCAGTGCAACGTGAGCTGTTTACAACAATTTTGATATGGCTTCAAGCAGCGAGAGCTTTCGCTTCTACGCGTTCACGTGGTTCAAACTTGGCATTGCGGCCACTGCCTGTTACACGGAACGAGTTTGTTGCAGAAAGCCTCCACGCCTTCGCGGAAAAAAAAGCTCATCCACCAGCTCTCGCACCGTCTCGACAAGCTCTGGTGTCTGGGTGGACCTTGGACGGCTACTGTGGGGCTGGTAAAGAAAGGAAGACTCCTCATCTTTTTCAGCTGCTTCTCTGAAGCTGCTGAACCACCGGAAGACAGTAGGCTTGACATACGAGGGTCGTATAGGGTCTTGCATAACCTTTTGCTAGGGAGGTACAACCTTAAGTACGAATAGAACAATTGTAAGTAATATCTCAATTTAAACCTGTATTCAACCTGAATACAGCATTGTAGCAGTATTTTGTGTGACCGCCATTTGCTTCGCGTACAGCCCTTAACGCTTAGGGTATAATTTCCGCAAATTTTCAAAAAGTTATGCTCTATTTTCCAGTTCATGAATAATATTTTGGAAGTTTTGAAGGTTCAGAATTTCAGCCAAAGCCAAGCTCACCAATCATCATACTTTCTATTTTGTCCCTATACCCTTTATTAAATATGGTTTCGTTGTATCATTGACGGATTAACAATCTTTACAAACCCCTTTGAGATGTCTTTCGCAACTCAACTGCAGCTTTTTCTCTTCGTCTTTTTCCACTGTTCTCCATCACAATGTTTTTGCTCTCTTCAGACAACTTTTCCAACTGCCGTCACCAAATTTCGTAAAACAAGATTCGTATCCTTTTTGGTCCAGTTGTCAGTAACTCAAACTCTCCTTGCGATGCAGCGGTGGGCAATTCACTCTCAATTGATAAACGTTGCGAATTCAAAGCGGATTATCGGCATGTGAGCGATCGCTGAACTCCATGACAGTTGGCATTCTAATCAAAGTCCCTCGACATTGGGAAACGTATACATCACGGTATCGTAAGTTAGTACGTGAATTAACGTGCAACTGGAATTTTCGAATTGGTTGTGTAGTGAAAGCTATACATTTTAAACAATTTCTAGCCGGGTTTGCCAAAGAGGCATTAAAACAATATTAAACCCTCAAATATGTGACGTATACAATATTCACCTCTGCAACGCCGGGTACCTCTGCTTGTATCTAATATATACTGTATAGACGATCGTGACTGACTGACGCTAATTCTAACCATGTTCTAGAGAAGCAAATGGCGGTCACACAAAATACTGCTACAATGCTGTATTCAGGTTGAATACAGGTTTAAATTGAGATATTACTTACAATTGTTCTATTCGTACTTAAGGTTGTATGTATCTAATATATACTGTATAGACGATCGTGACTGACTGACGCTAATTCTAACCATGTTCTAGAGAAGTTAGAAATCTGTAACTTGGAACACATGTACCTTTTGAGAAGCAGAGTTCAGGAAAAATCCGACTTTGGAGGTACATGCCCTGGAGGCACCCATTTTGGGGGGAGATGTTTTCGATGATATTTATTTGCTTCAGTCAAACGGAAAGACATGGAAAGCTGAAACTTGGCATGGACGTGCCTACTGAGACAAAAAGTTCAGGGAAAAAGTCAAGTTTCAGATGCATGCCCTGAGGGCATAGTTTTGTTGGGTGACTTTTTCAAAAAATTTTTCTTAGTCCACCGAATTGGTCAGAGATAGAAAGCTGAAACTTGATACATAAGTACCTATTGGGAACCTGAATTCAGAAATATTCCGACTTTGGAGGTAAACGCACAAATGTGCCCTGGGGGCACAAATTTCAGGGGGAGATGTTTTCAAATATTTTTTTGCTTCAGTCAAAGGGATACAAATGGAAAGCTGAAATGTGACATGGACGTACCTACTGAGACTCTGAGTTCAGGAAAAATGTCAAATTTTGGATACATGCCCTGAGGGCATATATTTGAGGGGTGACGTTTTCAAATATAATTTTTTAATTATATATTTCAAATATATTTATGCAAGTAGTTTGTTTGCCCTTCGGCAAACAAACTCACAAGTACCACTTACATGTAGTTTCTCTGGTGCGGAAACCTATATCGGCTTAACTTACCCGGATGTGAAACCCAACATATTTAATATTAATATTTTATTTAAATCATTTCCAGATTATTACGAACCTGGCTCTCTCGAAAAATAATGTTCGGAAAATAATTTTTAAAGTCGAGAATGGAGCATTAACGAAATACGGACATTCGGTACAAATAGACAAAATTGAAAGCAATGATGAGGTGGTCCAGGTTAGTCTAGATGAGAGACCCTAAGCGGATTTCAGGCACATGACTGCAGAGCAACGCCATGGTGGCTGACATTTCAATCAATGTCCCTAAATTTCGAGTAAGGCACCCGAGGTAAAAAATAAACGGTTTTCTCCCCTTTTCCAACATGTCAGAAGATCTTTCAGGTAGTTAGGGGAAAAAGCGGTTAAATTTGGACGAAGGAGGGATGAGGTTTTGTAAGGAGATTAAGGAGGACCACAGAGCAGGATTGCGTACGCTGCTGGAAATATGGGTTGTCTTGGAAAATATTGCTTCCTTTACATGCGCGGAGCCCGAATTCATAGCTTTTAGTTGGATTGTTTGACTAAATGTACAGGGTGTCCATAAAAAAACTTACACTTTTGAAGTTCGATATCTCCGGAACGGTAAGGCACAGGACAGTGAAATTTTAGGGGGATACTCATGGGGTCACGGGATTTTATTTGAGACTGTTTTGTGAATTTTTTTTTAATTTTTCCCCATATTTGCACACTTGGCAGTATTGAACCACAACTGAAAGTACGTAATAATTATCGGTCATAGATAGAAAAGTCATGACTTTGACTAAAAAGCAGAGAGGCGAACTAATAAAGCTTTTCTATCAGATACACCAACAAGTATAATGGTGTTGTTGTCTTACGAAAATACCGCGCCGCACACAGCCTGCGTTTGAGGCCCTGCTCGAGGCAAGCTCTAATGAATTTGGTCGATAAGTTCGAGGAGAGGAGTTGTGTCTGTAACAAGCCGCATGGAGGTTCGCCATTCTGCTTCTTAGTCAAAGTCATGGCATTTCTACCTACGACCGAAAATTAGTACATACTCTCAGTAGTGGTTCAATACTACCAAGAGGGCAAATATGGGGGAAAAAAATTAATTAATTAAAAATTCGCAAACGTCTCAAATAAAATCCCATGACCCCATGAGTATCCCCCTAAAATTTCATTGTCTTATGCCTTACCGTTCCGGAGATATCGAACTTCAAAAGTCTAAGTTTTTTATGGACACAGTACATTTGCGTTGAAAATTAACTTAGGCCTATTTTACATTTTGCTCATATTTTAACCACTGCACTGCCTGCTTTACCCCGAATAATCGGAGGAATATGGGCATGTGCAAGGGTTCGAGTTAACTTTTTTTTTTCCTTCTTCATCATTGGAGATGGATTATTTTTCAGCACGCACGCTTGTTCGAGAATGAGTCTTCGTTGCAATGGTGAAATTGTGGTTTCTCTAGTCATCAAACTTTTTCACTTCCCACGCTAAACGCCGTTAACCCTTTGAGGAGTAGGTTTTCTTTTAACGCCTAGAAGATCACAGTAGTGAATACAAGGAGGGCAGGAGGATGTCAGTCCGTATATATACGGGCATACTCGTAAAAGGGTTAACAAGACCATGTTCTCCTGACTTACACTATGCTAAGATTACACAAGAATGAAAAATGTCATTCTCCGTCCTCAACTTCTATGCCAACTCAATGAATGAAATTATCGGATTCAGATACTTTTGTAAAAGGGTGGGATATTCTTCCAAAGATTCAGACTTGAAAACGTTTATTTTTATGCGTCTCTTGCGCATCGGACGCGATTCCTTGCGAGGACAACGGTTCCCAATGTTTGGAGTGGCCTTATTCCGCCTTGATCTTGTAGATGAAAACCTTCACTTTGCTGCGTTGTACGAGGCACAATTCTGAATCAGGGAGAATTAAATTTTAAAAAATCCTGCCACTTGGCCCTGCCATCTTTGCAACCGACCCATTTCTTCGGTTAATATATCTGTCCCTAATTCCAGTCCCACGGTGAAGACGAGTTTGCACCGCTGATTAAAACAGTAGACAAGAATGCAAAATATCCCAAGTCCCGATCAATGACAGAGAGCAGATCCTGAATGCCACCCGTCAATTCAAATTAACAGTGCTATTTGGAAAGAGGTGCAAAAGAAACAGAAAAGTGAAGAAAAAAAATCCCTTCTACTTCAGTTTCTGTTTAGAAAGGTAATTTTATATTTTCTTGGTATTTCATTTTGGTGGAGATTCTCCATTTTTTCTAGCTTTTTAAATACTTATTTCTATCCTATTCTGAGGCATTATTTTCCAAATGGAAATAGTTTCGAGGAGTGCCTACTCTGCCACTTTTTTTTTTAAATTACTGGACCAAGCGATATTGCAAAAAAAAGATTGCTGAATTTTTTCCTCAGTCTAATGCTGAGCATTGGGGCAATTGTAACACATTTCCAGCCACTGTTCTGTTGCAAGAGGACTTACTGATCGGGGCAGACGGGAGAGATCCTTCTTGCCAAAATACGGTGTGACATCACCAGAATCTGTACCAAGGAGTTCGACAAAGCTCCGAGTCATGTTGCTCCCCCATCCACGTATTCGGATCGGGACGGGGTTCTCATTCTGGACGGCAAAGAGAAGATCCCAGAGCTCATTGAGACCCTTCGTTCCGAAGTCCAGGCCCACGGACTGACGGATAGATGGGAGAAGAACGCGGATGCGCCCATTATAGCAGACGATGGGGATGCGGAACTCGGAGGCATTGGTCCACAGAGAGATATGGGACTGAAGCTGAATGTCAGCTTTCTTGTCGATGAGGCTCAGCTCGAACATCTCAGATTCTCCACCAGGTTCCAAAATTTTTGCCCTAACACCATCTAGCTGCAATATCCACAAAAAAGTCAGACGAAATGACTGTGCTAGTCCACATGAAACCCTAGACTAGGTGAGAAACACACACAAAACTTGTGGTTACATTCCATTAAAGTACTTGCCCTTGGCATCAATATATTACTGCATTCTATTTCCCACCTTTGGAAAGTTTCACAGTAGTCTGATATGAGAATACTAGAAACCTCTGATTGTACATTCTCTTCCAATCACATCTATCCTTGAAAACGGCCTTCCGGCAATGCTGGGCTCCAGCTGAGGGAAAAGCCCGAAGAGCAGGGAACCAAGTCAGGAGAGTAGGGTAGGTGGAGAAAAGAGATGCCTAGTTAGTCTATGCAGGATGTCATCAGCTTTACCTTGTGATGGCTAGATCCTTCCATAGAACTTCCTTCTCCTACTTTAGGTTCACGTTAAGTCGCCATCCCTGACTCATACTTTTTGGAAGGGGCTCAAATATGCAAACACCCAAGTCCGTCATACTCATTTACCTCTGTCTGATTTATTTATTTAACTGACAGAAGCCCGGCAACCAGAGCTATTACTGACGTCGACATTGGCGACGATGGGGAATATAGTTTATTATTATTATTATTTATTCCATGCATTCATGCTTAGTTACAACTCAGCGCATCCTGGGTTCAGGAATGGATGATACCCGTGTTGGCGCAGCAAACATATGGCTAAGGTTGCCAGCTCTTCTGGTTTCACGGAGAAACAATGTTTTTTACTTTTCCCTTTCCTACCGACTGCTTGCGAAGAATGTCTGAAAGCATTATACGATTCTCTGCCCAGCAGCTCTTATAGGGTGCGATCCGGCCAATCACAGCATAGTTTTCCTCATGACTTCGATGTTTCATCATGGCCATTTGAATGACGGCCTCTCCAATCTTATATTGCTTCTCCAAGATATTAAGAATTCTCCAACTCGGTTGCCTGTCCCGGTTTCATTTTTTTTTCATCAGCCTGAGTAAGAATATTTTTCATTCAACTCAAGACACTACTACATCGGATATTTTTCATGCAGGCGTGTCTGAGTCAAGTAAAAAAAAAGTCAGACTCAAATGAAAACCATAGTAGCACAGATTAATGCCTTTTGTGACATATAATACATATGAAAAATGTATTTTTGTGATTGGATTTTCATATTTTACGTTCAATCAAAAAGTCAATAAGTACTCGGGAAATCTGATTTGACTAAAAAATGCTAGGTCTCTGGGACTCAAAATTGAAGAAGCTGGGAGAAAACCAAGTTCTTTCATTCTCATGCACATGGAAAGTGTTTTGCCAAAGACCTTCAGAGAAACTGAGAAATTGGTACCACAAACAGGAACATCATGAGTGCTACTTTGCTATGGCAAAAGGTGATGGCATCCTACCTAGACCAGCAAAGCAACTCTCTTCCTCCCCACCCAACGAACACTCCTGATTTGGCTTCCTACAACTTCTGGCTATTCTCATAATTTAAGTCCACTATTACTGGAAGGCTATTTTCAAAGAAGAGCTGTGCAAGCAAAGCTGTATAGTTATCCCATCTTGGACTACTATGAAGCTTCCAAATGTGGAGAATCAGGATGTAGCAGTGCATAGATGTAAAGAAGGGGGGCTTCAGTGAGTACTTCTGTTGTTTTGTTTTTGCAATATGATGCAGAACTTTCTGACCACATCTTATAAACTGAGTAATCAATTACTTCAACTGTCAGGGCTATCGATATTCATGCACCCTTGAATGAGCATGAGCTAAACCAGATGCAGCACATCTGGCACAAAGAATGGCCTCTAGAGATTGGATGGCTGCACTTGTTTCCCACCGAAAAAAGGCAGAGGAGATCGGTGGCCAATGTGGCATCGATGACCATAATTGGGACTCGAAAGCCATTGCGTACAGAGATCTTCCGGGGTGTGAGGTCATTGTCACCTCCCCTGGTGTGGAACTGGAGGAGGCTGGCATTCACCCCAAGCTCCCCATGAAGCACTTCCATCTGATATGGGAGCACCACCTTCAACTGGTTGTTTTTTGCTTTTAACACAATCTTCCCCTCTTGCACACCATCATCTTTCCCAATTCTCTTTGCTGGGTAGGTAAAGAAAAAATAAACAAAACTTCGAGATTCAGCAAATCCCATTAGAGGTAAGATAACAGTTCAATATTAGTATAACAGGTTAACCCACTGGCATTGACTTATGAGATAGTCTCGTAGTCTCCAAATGGCAAATAAAGTCACTGTCATGCATTGGTAAGTCCATTAGGAACACTATGCTTATCTTATATAAACATTCAAGATTTTTTTTTTAAGATTCAAGATAGTTAGTGATATCAAGAGGAGATTTCACCCATTTCGATATCACGTGTCGAAGTCGAGCGTTCCTTAATTTTAGGGTAGGCCTAACCCTCTTGAAGCTAAATATATATCTATTTTTTTTTTACTATCGTAGTTGCTTACTGTCTAGTACCTAACATCAACATTGCCCCCCACCTTTTTGCCTGTCCATGAAAAAATCCACTTTCTTCTTAAAGATAGTCAGAGAAGGGGCAGTCACTACTTCGTCATCTAACACATTCCACGCGTTCACCACTCTGCAAAGAATGAATTCCTGTCTCGACCTGAGCCGCACCTGCGGTTTGCACACCTTAAGTTGGTTACCTCTCGTTCTCTTGCTGCCATCAAACTGGAAAAACCTACCACACTCGACATTTATATATTCCTTTAATTATCTTGAAGGCCTGGATATAACTCTCTTGACTCTTGACTCTTGACACCATCTGTAAATGGTCTTCCTAGCTGGTGGATCAATTCCAAAACGTGTGTGGAACAGCCGTTGTACAGTTGTTAGTGTTAGTATTTTCAAACTGCAGAACACAGAACGCCTTTTGTTGTGGAGTCGCCATTTTTGCAACACGGTCTCCCCTGGCGGCACAAGCGCGAAACACTTATCCGCGTCAATTACAAACAAACTTTGAGAGTTTTCCTAACAATTGATACATATCACGTTATTGTAGGCTCACTGGTTACTTCATTATAAACATGTGAAAATGTTACCTTCTTTTTTAATTACCCTGTACTTCGATACGTATCAAAGACATTCACTATACACAGGTTTCAAAGGCCATATACAGGTACTCATGTTAACAAACTATTTTTAAATATCAGATTCCTGGTTTTTATATGCGCCTTTTGTCACAAAATATCTTGCCTAGATAAGAGTTAAAGTAAGAATTGCATTCATGATTTCAGTGATTATTTGAAAGACGCTCTCTTTTCTAATGCCGAATTCGAGCTTGTGGTCATTCATGATCATGTCTAGGACGAATTCCTTTCTGTCCATCGCTCATGAAAAATCGCTCAATTATACTCCAGAGAAGTCGGTCTTATTGTACGATGAGGAGTCATTGAAGTGATGAAATTTGATATTGATAATGGAATTGAATGATGAAATCAATTTTTCCCTTATTACTTATGCAGAAGTGTTGTACTAGGACAGTGCTGATGGTGCATTGTCATCATTTACATGTATGGCCTTTCAAAAAATTTTTGAGTTTGGGAAACAGACAAAATTCACTGGGAGCTAAATCGGGCGAATACAGCGGGTGATCCATTTCAGTGATCCGTTTGGCGGCCAAAAACTCTCGGACAGACAGGGCTGTGTGAGCTGGCGCGTTATCGTGATGCAGGATCCACGAGTTCTCCTTCCACAGATCGCCCCTTTTCCTCCTCGCAGCCTCACGCAACTCTTCCAAACGTTCTTGTACAACATCTGGTTGACTGTCCTTCTGGCACGAATTCTGAGTGGACGATTCCTTTGACATCAAAAAAACAAATCAGCATAGTCTTGATTTTCGACTTTGACATTCGGGCTTTCTTCTGTCTCGGTGAATTTTCAGTTCTCCATTCAAGGGATTGACGTTTCGTTTCCGGATCATATTGATAACACCATGTCTCATCTCCAGTGATGATTCTTTCCAAAATATTTCCTTCTCCAGCTCTTTCTGAGAGATTCAAACAAACGTCCAATCGCCTTTGTTTTTGTTCAGCTGTCAGCAACCGAGGCANCTCAAATATAGGAACCACATCTCACTTCATCCCACCTTTCCCTAATCGCAACAAGCGGCATCTATAGCACCCTCGAACAGTTCTTTATCTAAATTCAACTCTTCAGCTATCATTCTAACTGTCAACCGTCTGCCTGAACGCACCAAATCCGTAACTTTTGAGACATTTTCAGGTGTTCCTTTGGTGATAGGCGATCGATAACGCTGGTCGTCATTGACGTCATCTCTTCCCTCTTTAAACCTTTTATGCCACAAAAAAATTGCGTTCTTGACATGGTATGATCACCATAAATTTTTCTTAACATTTCGAGCGCTGAGAATTTCCCCAGTTTAACACAAAATATGACGTTAGTTCTATGTTCGAGATTACGCTCCATTTCAAATCCGCCAGCGCACACAAATACGGTCTACCTTAACTGGCCACAGCTCGCAGCGCACTGGTCAGACCACACTGAAACTTTTTATTATTAAAATAATATTATTATTATTATTTATTATTATTATTATTTATTATTATTATTATTTATTATTATTATTTATTATTATTATTAATAATAATTATTATTAATAATTACTATTAATAATAATAATTATTAGGTTATTATTATTAGCCCGGTTATTAGCTAGGGCTCCCTCCATGTTACTGTCATAGCCCCACTCCCCTCCTCTTTCTCAAAGTTCAGTAATAAAACCAGTCTGGAAACATAATAGCCACACCTCGTATCCCACCCAATATCACATAGGCTACATGCAGAGAGGAGAGAATAATATTTGAAAGTTATGCTCACGGTCAAAAGTGATGTTGGCCACTTGATGTGCACGATTGGGATCAGGAGGAAATCGTACAGGCTCAAAGTCAACCTTTATGCCCTCTGCCACAGGAGTCACAAACACATTCTGTGATTGATAAGAGCATGTCACTAACATATACTGTCATGTCAAAATGACAAGGAAAAAGCCAAGGTAGGCTTCTCATAATTGCCATTTGTGGGCTTCATTCTGCTTAGCTTTTGTTAAATTTGAATAAAACTTTCCCTATGCCTTCCCCTATTGACATCAGCATTAAAGTGATAACAATGGAGCCTTGGTAAGGGGCCTGTCCACGCCAAGTGGTCCTAGAATTTTAGCCGAAATTTTTCCTAACTATGCAAATTTCACATTCGCCACAGAAGTTCATAATCTCTTTTCCTAGAAGACATGAGTGAAAGAGAATATTACATTGAAAAATGAAAGAATTAGACATAATTATGATATATTATTCATACCACTCTCATGATACTAAAAAATGTGATGAAAATGCACATCTGGAGAGACTGAATTAGACTACTGAAAGAGATGCCAGCATGGGCTTTCCATGCACACTGATAATTTAAAATCAGGACAGGTGTGAAGAGTAGATTTCAATGGTTAACATTTGAATGATATCTTAAAAATAAAATAAATATATATGTACAGATTTCTCATTTCAAAATACATTTTTGGAACATGTCACATCCGACACCGTCACAAAATTGGCTTATTTTCTGTTTCAATAGTTTTCATATTGGGGTGACTTACACTAATTCCAGGCATTCATTCCATCTATAGAATGAACATGAAACTAAATTATTAGGATCTGCTCAATGGCAGATATGAGAACATTAGTGCAAGTGATGTAAACTTGAGGTTCACAAAATGTCACATCCGACACTTCTTTGCTCATAGGTACACCTCTAACATAAGAGAGAGTGCAAGACTTTGGATTATATAACTTTCAGTCACCACCCAAATAAAATTGTAACAGCCTTGTAACAGCCTTGTAACAGCCCAAATTGTAACAAATCAGCATATAATATGCTGATTTGTCAGCCATAATATAGTTAAATACATTTTGTATACAAAAAATATTACTCTGGATGTCACATCCGACACCGTGGACAGACCCTAAGCCTATATGATAATGTACAAAGACACCAGTAATTAAAAATTGAATGGATGAATGTCTGGGCCATCCAAGCCATCAATTCTTATTCAGAGAAAATGACAGAAAGGTGCATTCATGCTTGGATGAGAAAATCACAATGATGGAAAATTTGCCCTTGACAGTATGCCCACCAGCTGTCACTAGTGTTCAATCAAGAGAAATTTTAGAAACTTTTACCAAGTACTGCGAGTTTGCAGAGGAAATTATGGGAAATTGATAACCTGGATGGTGATGGGTTTTTGAGCAGAGTTGATGATCCCAATTGAGAGGACTTTGGGTGAGTCATCAGAGCGCACAAGTCCCAGGTGGAGAACTTGGGCAGCAGAATACATTCCAGGTTCTGTTAGGACTTCCACATCAGCCAGCATTTGCTCACTCCCCTCCATATGACTCCCATTGATCTTGACTCTAAATAAGTCAAGCACATTGCTCTCATCACTTTTGCAGTCCACTGAACTTTACTTGAACATGGGGGTTGATGAACTTAGGAAGTCAAAAGCTTCTAATGAAATTCAGCAATAAAGGAAAGAAAAATAATGATACCAGTAGCTTAGCAGTAGTACTGTAATGACTCTCCATTCTCATGGTGATGGTTAACTTGAAGGCAATACACAGCCTAACTCATGAGTTTCATGAATAAGATCTCCACCACAATAAAACTCACATCACTATCAAGAAGCTGAAGACAGGGGACTACACTCAGAGAATGTTCAAGTCATTACATGAGGACACACACAGTCCCAGGCCTACTCTACATTGTACTTGTACTCAAAGCCTCCCCAAGGGTCATTCTAATGATAATGGCACAGCAGAATCTATAGACATTATTCAAAGTAATACCTACCAGCATTAAGGCAATAGTTCCAATACATGACTGCACTCTGCACTGCCTTGTCCAACCAGAAGTGCTAAACTTTCAGGACTCATTTCAGTAGGCCAAAGAAGGACAAATCAAATGGTATGAGGTCTTTGTATGGGGGTTGTTCAAGGACTACCCACTTCATATCTGTGAGTGCCTCCAAAGTGGTGCAGGTAGTGCACAGATGCATGTTGCCTCCTAATGAGCTCATGTTGATACTGAGATGATTTGGGCACTTACATTTGATGGCCTTTTGCAGTTGCATCTGCTGCAGCAGGCGATACCATTCAGCATTCAATGTCGACTCACTTGCAAGGAAGTCAAACATAAGGGGGCCTTTCATGCCAAAGAACATTGTGAACATCACCTCATCTACCAAGGGCATCATCTCAGGAGGCAACAACTCCTGGTTTTGCAGACCCTGGCATTCACTCTTGGGTGTCAAATAGCAGCACTAACTGTAAGTCTCATCCCAGGTGACTATGTTCTGCAAATATGCATCACTTTCCCTCTGGTATCACTTTGAGTGATTTAGTGTCTGTCCCTCTCCACAGGTTTTCCTGGTCATTGGTCAGGAGATGCAGTGCCCATGGGTGACCTTGTGATATTAGAGGTGCTAGCACATAATGGCATAAATGCTACCAACACTAATGCTCTGTGCTGATGGAATGCACAAACCTACCTGTCTGCATAGATTACTCAATCCACCTTGATATCTACCTCAGTGATGATGACACATGCCTGGCCCAGGCAGGGAGAGCCATGCACATTCGTCAAAGAAGCATAACAAGAAACAGCCCAACTATACAATGTTGACACTGATGGACAGTTCGCCACATACATGGCACTTATTCAACAATGAATTTCAAAAGGGTGCATCTTCTCTGTCACAAGAAATTTGATGACTGCTTACTGTTGCTCCTAGGATACCCCCTCATAGGGTCACTGCCATCTTAAACTGCCTACTGCATAGCAAACAATATGCACCTGACATTGCAACCTGGTTGCAGACACCCCAATCAGTCAGATGTGGCTGAAACCAACAGGGCCAACCAGCCCAACATGCATTGATAGTGTAGCAATACTCACTATCATTTGAATGACTTTTACATTTAAACTACTTTCTGAAAACCTCCAGTACCTACCAGTACTTTTCAAGAGTTAAAAGCAATGAAAGATGCACTGGTACCTGACGAAAGTGATAGACTGATTCTCCTCTGTGACCAGGAACATAGCTCTTTTAACAGGACTGTTTTCAAAGATGGGAACCTCGAAAATGCTCCCATCTTGGAGACCTAAATCCAATTCACCTTCTTCATCATCCAACTCCAGTTGGAAATCCCCTATGTACATGTTTGTTACCTGCATAAGATGGATGAAAAATGTCAACAAGAAAATATTTCTTTAGGAGTTTTTCTAAAATCAGGAAGGTCAATGATGAATCTTGCCTGAAGGGTGGCCATATAATTCTGAACTTCAAGGACCGGTGGGAAGCTATAGTTGAAGGAAATCTTCTTCACATGCTCAAGGCTTCCCACTCCTCTGCCCATCACCTACATTCAAGTAAAGTGAAAATAAATATTTAACAAATGACTTATGAAATCAATATTACAACTGGATAAATTATCTGTACAAAAAAATGAAGCACAGGAAGATAAAGAACTGACTTGGAATACATTCATAGAGGGTCTCACTAGACACTGATGAAGCTAACTGCAACTTACAATCAAGAACACTCACATGATACTTGTAAGTGCCAAAGGAAGTGTGAATGTGAAGATGGCTTTTAACAGGGCCTTCTTCCTGGGCCATGAAGACCACTTTGAACGAAGTATTTTTCCCTCCTTCCAGCTCCTGCAAACCCAAGATGGTGAAGTGATTCTCAACATGGTCAGTTATGACTCAGACACTTTTCACTGAATTCTAATGCATAGATTGCCATTGTTATGTCCAAGCCCAACAAGCCTAATACCTGGAGAATAGGCATGTCCACGTGCTTTCACTTGTATGCAAGTCCTGGTTAGGGATGAGTTATTGACCAGTCAAAATGGTCAAATATGGTCAACTATGGCCAATTATGGTCAATGAGGCCAACTTTTTCTTTTCCTGCACAGCTTGAGCTCCATTTATATGCCATGACTCACAAGTGATAGACTAGGCATGGGAAGCTGACTGGTCAACATGGTCATTTCTGGGAAGTTGCATATTACAGCCACTTCACAGCCAATTCCCTCTTTCTTGAAGAATTTCTAGACTGTTCCTGGTGGTTTCATAACAGATCACAGATAGTTTTTAAAGCCTACACCTTAGCTACCTAATACTGGACAAATTCATGCATGCATGTACACAACGACACAAATAAAAGTCAGGCAGTGGAGGAATGATAAGCATAAAGTTATTGCAGCCAAGACCACAGTCTCACCCAGCCAAGTAGGGCCAATTGAACTTAAGTCGAGCCATACCATACAGACCTAGGTCTAAGCAAAGCACCACTAAGATGTCACTTTCTAAACATTGGCCAACAGAAAAATCAGTAGCCTTGCTCAAGGAAGTTCTTCATAGCTAGATTAATTTTTTTAGGCATAGGCCTAGGCATAATCCAAGTACTCGTCCCTTGATCACAGACTCTGAGAATAATTTTATGCTTTGATGCAGACTAATGGCCAAGACCATGACAGGCTTTGCACTAAAGCTGTAACTTAGATCTTGAACCTAAACTTTTGAAGTCCTTAAGGCTGTAAGATCTTGAACAACAGGCTATGTCTGCACACACACTCTACACCATTCAGGTGAGAAGTCGTGGTAGTTTGAGCATTTGTTATAATATTTTCATACACAACAGGTGCCACAGTCCAGATGTTTGGCAGGCTGCAAGAATATAACTTTAAAATGGAACTGGTTCTTTAGTTTCAGTGCTGGAGGACATATGGCCACAGTTATGAGATGTATAAAAAGCTCTTAAATCACAGAATTAAGAAAATAAAAGAGCACTCAATAATGGTCAACAATGGTCAGTAACTGATCAACTGACCCGGTCAGTTGACCGCCCCATCACAATTTCTGGTTCTACTTTTGTGCAAGCTGCATCAACCTAACAACTAACCAAAACAGATGGGAAATTTTTAAACTTTCCTCAGTTATGGGAGAAGGTACTATTACAAGATACTTATAATATCTTCTATATATATAATATGCTAATGTAAGTTTGTAAGCCGCATTGCGATGTTATGCAAATTGATATCCTGACCTATTATGTATCGCTCGAAAGCCTATGGTCAAGAGGGGTGCATCGAGCAATCAGATTAGAAAAATCTTCAATCCAGGATGAGTTACAAGTGATCAAATTTTTCACCATTATGCAACCCTGTTCTGTACTGAGTCCTGCACGGGCTGATTTCCCGGTACCTGACCCGAAAGGCCCGATTCAATTCATGGCCAGCACTGACCTGAAACTCGAACTCCAACAAAAAATTCGGCTTGACCCTACTCGACCTGAAGGATCATGAAAAGTTCGGTCTAGATGGTCCGCGGGTCGGATGCGTTCGGGCTGGGCCAAAGCCGTGCAGGACTCTAGCCCCCCCCGCCCCCCTATTCCTCCAATAGCGAAAACGATGACTGTTTCATCCATGAAACATTTAAAAAACTCTTTATACACTCCCTGTAATGAAACACTGGACAGGACTATAGAGCGTCATTGTTACAGTGTGCACCAAAAGTCAATGTGAATATAGAGCCTGGACCCTGATAAAGCCGATACCCAGAGAACAATGGTAACTATACCTCAAATGTCGTGTTCCAATAGGTTTTGAATTTAAAATACTGTACACAGTGGCGTATTTTGGCTGAGGGGTCAGGGGGGGGGCAGGGCAACAGCACGGGGGCGCCACACCCTACCCTAGTGATATGAGGTGAGGTAATATCCCACACAGCACAGGTATATCCCAAAGATATCCCAGAGATATCCCCTTGGGACAAGTGGGATGTCCCAGAGACAAGGAGTAGGGACATCTTAGGGATATCAAAATGTCTGGGCCCAATGAAATCCCAAGGATGTCCCTTTCTTGAAGAAATAGCATATCTCAGAGATGTCCCAGGGATATTCCCTTGGGGCAAGTGAGAAGTCTCAGGTAGTACTCGTAGGGGCCTTCCTATTCCTTCCTACCCATATGGACTCATTTCCTATCGCAAAGGAGAACCCATTGCTTTCGTAGATGTCTCTATTTTATATAGGACCACCTAATCTAAAGTTTTTGATCGATTGAAGAATAACGATTAAGGGGGAGGAAAATACCATTCCTAAAGGAAGCCCCATCATAGGAAGCCACATCTCCAGGGGATGAAATTTAGCCCTTTTACACGAGGGGTCATGGATGATATGATGTAGTCTTATGCCTTTCAAATTGTATGGGCTCAGGCCTCCAACCAATATACAGGGTGGTTGAAAAGTAACTCCCTATTGAAAACTGCTTATAACGAGAGACGAGAGCAGCCCATAATGGCCTGTCACCTGACACTGCGTGAGCGTTCTCAGCTGGCCTCTCGTTACAAAGTGTGGCAGTCCGTGGTACAGGTGCAGAGATGGTGGCGGAATGTTCACAGACCTCGTGCTTCAGTGGATGCCAAGACCATCAGGAACTGCCATTCCAAGCTGATGAATACGGGATCTGTGGTAGATACTCGCAAAAGTGGTCGTCCCTCGACATCCAGGTCAGAGGAAAATGTGCATGTGGTGCAGGATATGTTCATCCGAAGTCCCAAAAAGTCAACACGCCAGACTGCTTGTGAAAGTGGCCTAACTCACCACACGATCCAAACTGTTTTGAAGGAGTTAAATTTTCATCCTTGGAAGCCGCATTCTTGTCAGGCACTATTGGCGGAAGACTGTGATCGTCGGATGGAGTATGGGGATATCATGCTTGCTTGGTATGCAGACTGGCCCCAGTTGTTTAACAACATCGTTTGGAGTGACGAAGCCATATTTCATGTGGGGGGGATTTGTGAAATGCCACAATTGTCACTACAGGGCACGAGAGGATCCTGGGGCCACTGTTGAAAAGATGCAAAATTGCCCTAAGGTCACAGTGTGGTGCGGCATGACATCCAACCAGGTTGTGGGCCCATTCCTTATTCGGGACACAATGAACGCAGATCTGTACCTAACCATGCCTGATGATGATGTTTGGCCTATTGTGTCCACTTGGGACAACGTCAACAACCTCATCTTCATGCAAGATGGTGCCCCTCCTCATTTTGCACTCACTGTCCGTGAGTGGCTCGACATCCAATTTCCAGGACGTTGGCTGGGTTGTCGTGGTCCACATATGAATGGCCAGCAAGGAGCCCTGACCTCACGCCATGTGACTTTTTCCTGTGGGGGTGGGCGAAGGAGGAGGTTTACCGCACCAAACCACAAACTCTGGATCAACTGGAGGATCACATTCGGCATGTTCTGACCAACATACCACCGGAGTTCCTGCTGAAGTCAGTCAAGNCCACACTTTGTAACGAGAGGCCAGCTGAGAACGCTCACGCAGTGTCAGGTGACAGGCCATTATGGGCTGCTCTCGTCTCTCGTTATTAGCAATTTTCAATAGGGAGTTATTTTTCAACCACCCTGTAGTTGTATCCAGACATGATTAATGAGAATATAAAGGAATAAATTAAAATTCGGACCGCAATTTTTTCACTTTCCCTGATGGCAGTTTTCCTTATGGATGGTACGAAAATCCTTACTTCTCCTCAGGACAAATCAAGTAGATGAATTTGATAGAAAAGATCTGAGGTTGAAGATTAGGGCTCATGGGAGACATCTACCGTCGAAGCTGTGCACCTGACTGAAGGCAACAGAGAGCACTGAAGATGCCTAAAGACATCCCTAAAATGTCCCTAAGACATCCTCCTCAAGATATCAAAAAGCGTTTGACTGAAGATATCTCTAAGATATCGACTGAAGATGTCTAAAAGATGTCCTGAAGACATCCCTTAGGGAGATGTCTGAAACCATCCGAAAGATGTCTTCAGGATATCCTATAAAGACATGGGGACAAGTCGTCCAGTTAGGGACATCCCTGGGATATCCTTGTGCTGTGTGGGATGAAGGGCGTACCAAAAGTATCGAGACTGGCTATAATTTTCTTAATGTGTGCCACGAAAATCTAATCTAGTTTCCTTCAATATGTAACAAATATGCAATTTACTCTCAGAAGTACAAGTTGCTCTCTCTCTTATGATTAAGAAAATACAGGCAGTGAAAGAAACACCTGCACCAGAAATTCCAGATGCAACGACACATTCAGTCATCTTGTGGATCATCATGAACCTTCTCCAAGTAATCCCCTTTGATTGAATTGATGATGTGGATTGATGACCTGAACCACTGTGGTTCAGGGCATCAATCCGCAGGTGTGAATCGCAGTGGCAGAAATGCGTCCCCCTCAAAGGGGACTACGTGGTTCATGATGATCCACAAGACGACTGAATGTGTTGTCGCGTCTGGAATTTCTGGTGCATGTGTTCCTTTCACTGCCTGTATTTTCTTAATCATAAGAGAGAGCAACTTGTACTTCTGAGTGTGAGTTGCATATTTGTTACATATTGAAGGAAACTGGATTAGATTTTCGTGGCAAACACATTAAGAAAATTATAGCCAGAGTTTTGATACTTTTGGTACGCCCTTCGTATTACCTCCAAGGGGGCGCCAAGACCTGTCCCAAGGGAGCCAGGGGGCAGCTGCCTCCTCCATCCCCAGTAAAATACGCCACTGACTACACATTTTTGAATGTCAACTTTTAAAATTCATAAAAAATTCTCGTGTTCTTTGATGAAAACCAAGACAAAATTTCTACAGCTACTGTTCTATGGTGGAGTCCAAAACATTTCCCTTTACACCATATGCCTTCAGGATTATTTGCAGTAAAATCTGGAAAATGCTACATTGTAATTTCGCACAATTTGCGCGGGGTTCCGCTAGTTTGAATAATGATGAACACAACTTTCTAGGACCCTTATTTATACCTAATTGCACTTTGCATTTGGCAAAAGAAGTCAAATTAATTGGTATTTTCAGTTTATAATCATCAAAAGTCGATTTTCAACCCTTTGAGTAACAGACCTTGTCAAGAAAGAAAGAGTAGTGGAAATGGATGGTGGAGCTGGAAATAGATTCCAAATCCACAATGGAATCCACCTCTTCATTTATGACCATAACTTCCAGGACTCGAGGAACTCCAACCAACCTGGATGAAAGTCAATTCTCTATATGAATGTGTGTTTCTTTCTGTGTTTGTGTTCAGCAGCAGGAATATTTGCAGGTAAGCATAAAATTTCAAAATGGGTCACCCTGCATATGCAGCGGAGAGAAATGTAGCGTATAATTGAAAACTGCATTGTTTTGCTGGCCCACTCTGTATGACAAGGAATGAGTTTCTGAAATGCTCCAATGCATGTATCATAACATGAGAAAGATCTTTCAGAACTTCGGATTAAAAAAGAGAGATAAAGACTTTTTACAGCTAAGTAACTTGTCTATTGTAATACAACCTATAGAATTCAATGGTCAAAAACATAGAATTCTATCAATTTGATCAGTAATCACACAGCACTCCAGAGAGGACTGAAACGTCAAAAGGATACAATGAAAATCACACATTGCAAGTACACTCACTGGCTCCCAAAATCAAGAACAGGAGGCAAGAACTTCAGTTTATAGATGTGGGGATCCACTTCATCTGGTTGCCTGAAAGAGAGAAGACATGAGTTAGGACTTCAAAAGTAATATATTTTCCAGTATGGTCTTGTGCCACTTCCCAGAAAATACCAAGACTTGACAGATATTGTGTCACCAACACAATACCGACAATAGACCTTAAATTACGTAACAGGTACAGGGACTGGCAGAAGTAGCACATCAGGATTAATGCAATTTCAGGAATTTCATGTCCATCCTATCCTTATCATTAGAACTCAGAATCACATCCATTCTACTCTTGAGTATACATGCAGAAACCCAATGCCAATGCTTCCATGTTGACTATTCCTTTGTCTTCGGGTATATAAAAATCATTAAATTCAGCATTCTAGTTAAAACTATTCACAAGTCAAGCTGCTACAATGTCAGCCTTTAAGGGAAAACTATGAGTCAAACATAATCTTATTAACCTCAACACTTTGAGAGTTGAGCACTTTACACACACATTTCATCTTTGATTGATGGTCAAGCACTTTCCCATAAAATGATGGAATTTAGCATTTACTTTTAAAAATAATAATGACGCTGGGAATCTTAAACCGGCAGTTCCCAAACTGTGGGTCGCGAGAGGCATCAAGGTGGGTCAAATACATTCTCCCTGTATGAAAAATAACTGCATCTGCATCTGCTCAGGATAAAACATGCCCTGCAGAAAAGGTAGATCAGTTTTCTTCACGTTATAATAACCTTGAAAAAACCTCTTTCTGGACTCCAGTGGGGTGTGAAATTCTCTGTACATCAGGAAGTGGGTCGTGATTCAAAGAAGTCTGGGAACTGCTGTCTTAAACAATACTTAATTCAAACTTTCAGAAGGCCTCCTTAGTGAGTTATACAAAAGGAATATGTAAAAAAAAATTGCTTAATCCAGATAGAAAAAAAAAGCAGGAATTGTATAAAGAAGATATGCTGAATGATTGAAGTTTTCATCATGATGCTCTTGCATATATTCCCAAGCTAATCACTTTCGTATCTGAGGAGCACTTCATCAATATGAATCTGTGTGCAATGAAAGAGTCTGATGTACAGCCTGGAATGGATCTTTTTCAATCAATTCATCCTTACTGACACATGCAGTCTTACCTTCCCACATGAAAAATCCATATATAACAGGGTGTGTGATTCTATATGGTCATGTATGATCACATTTTAGCCATATATCACCATATATGTATTCACATATTAGCAATTGTATGGTGTATAATATATTTTACCTGCATTGCAATATTAAGTGTGGTGGGCAAATGGCATCATGTCTGATGAGTGGTGAATATCCATAGATAAGTCTTATGGTTGTAAGTAAAACACAGCATGAGCTCAGTGGTGTATTTCGGCTGAAGAGTAAAATACGACACTGCATGAGGTTGTTACACACAAGGGTAATTGATCTTCAGATGCCTCTGCAATTAATTTTTAGTGCACCCATTATATTTTACATGAAATATTAGTTATGTATAATCTTTAAAGTAATTTGCAAAAAGTTTGGTTTCGAACCCCCCCCCCCCCCTCCAGCTGAAAATCCTTGTTGGAAACAGCTATAATATCCAGCTGGACCCCAGTTGGAAATTCAGACTGATTCCAATTGGGTAGCAGCTGGAAAGTAAAGTCAGATCCAGATTGTTTCCAAATGCAATACACTGGTGGAATGAGAATGTTTTTGTTGGCTATTCTTGCTGGAGTTCCATCTACAGAAGTACAGTACATGTCAAAATTAACGTACCAGGGTTATCTCCTATTCAACGTCTTCATTGAATCGGGAAACATAGTGGCTGCAGAAGGCAAGAGGGCATGCTCATAAATGGTTTTCAGCAGATGCGCATCCAGGTTCTGGATGAAGGTGCAGATCTTCCCAATCCCTCCAACATAGAGGCAGCCCCAAGCATCACCTTACCCAGGTGCTTGACAGTCCGAGTGATCACTCTTTTCCCTCCACCATTCCAGTCTCTCGATATATTTTAAGCCAACCAACCTTTGCTGGCTTTGAGATCTTTTTGTACTTTGCGATGGGGCAGAAGAGAGCTTTGGACACAAGGGACGAGCGATTCTTCATTGAAAGTAGCATTTTTCCTCACGCCGAAGAAAAACAGCTGCATAACAGGGATGTAACGAACTAGAGTCACCCACTTTTTAGGCAGATCAGCACTCATGGGCAGCTGTCCTATGCAAAATGTTTGAGCTGCATAGGTACCCTATATTTCGAGATAATCCTGGTACATTAATTTTGACGACCACTGTAGCTGAATTTCAACAGTAAATTCAGCTATATTCCAAATGAAGGGTCATCTGTATGAAATTCTAACAGTAAAATTTCAGATGTAAAACAACCTGTAATCTATCATTTTTCAGCTCTTTGCCAGCTGGAAATGGTCAGAATATACAGCTTCTGTCCACCTGGAAAATTCCAGTTGGGATTTCAAACTGAGCCCTACCCTCTCTAGATAGCATGAGCATATTGTGAATGAAAAAAGTGTGGGGGGGGGCATGGGAAGTCAAGGACACTTATTGTGCATTTCATACATCTTTTCCTTTGTACTGATGCATTTTTTTGCTGTTGTAAAGTGGGGGGCACATGTCGTGCCATGCCTTCATTCAACAATTCCTTCATTGGATTATTTCAGAAAGAAATACAGCTTTTTGTTCCCATTTATCTTGTGAGTTGTCAGTCAAAATGAAGAAGACACTCTTAAATGAGTAAGCCAAGTTTTGTCATGAAATAAAATTACTGATGAAAATACTTGTGAAGGTTCAAGTTTATAATATTGACATCTTCACCTTCATTAACAATGTTCCAAATGTTGAACACCATGAAAAACGAATTCTTTAAGTAATTGACTATGGTCTGTGAACAATTAAAATTGATTTGATTGTAAGTAAAGTATGGTGACTTGCATATGAATGATTATACAGTATTTGATGGATTATGGACCCTTTTTGGATACAGGCATGTTTCAGGGAATCTCACCATACATATATATGACATAGCATATATGGACTGTATGTGGTGCATTTGTAAGAACTAATATATGAAAATGTATGGGATCATATGTTTTCATTCTCATATGATTTTATGTGACTTGTGTCAAGCCCCATATATGTTCAACATATGTTCATATATGAATTGCACTATATGGTCATATATACCCCATATACGAGGTGCGATCCAAAAGTTTAGGGAATTCATTGATAAACAATACAAGAGATGAAATACAAAATATTATGCAAAATCTTCTTCAAAATAGTCCCCTCTGTGGTTGATACAGCGAGTCCACCGGTCCTTCCATGTTACAAAACAGCGCTGGAACTTCAACTGAGGGATATTGCTCAGTACCGCCAGCATTTTCTGTTGAATCTCTTCTACGCTATTAAAACGAAGAACTTTCAATTTGGTTTTCATTTTTGGAAACAAAAAAGTCTGAAGGTGCTAAATCTTGCAGTTGAATCCTTTGGCAGCTGCTATAGGAGAGGTCCGTGAGGTTTACTACATCAAGGATGGTCATTTGTCTATCCGACCGAATGAGGTCATTGATGAGGGCAATGTGTTCATCTGTTCTTGCAGTTGAAGGACAACCCGAATGTTCTGCGTCTTCAGTGCTTTCCAACCCACCCATACCTTTTTTATGCCACTCATAAACTCTTTTTTTTTCCTCATTGCATCTTCACCATAAGCTTACGTCAGAATTTGACAAGTTTCTGAAAGTTTTTGGTCCAATTTTAAGCAAAATTTCATACAAACTCTGCTCGTGAAGCTCATCGCAGACACACTAAGACACTATCTCACTTAAACTGCTCTGGGAGCCAACCGAAGGGCCCTACATTGGTCAAGGTCATATCATTTGAAACATAATGGACTCACCACTACTCCAACATGACGTTTTAATGTTAGGTTCAACAGGTCTAGAGGTCAATTCTTGAAACCTTTGGATCGCACCTCATATGATGGATGGTCTAAATATATGGCTATTTCATATATGGTCTTATATGAAATTTTAAAGCAGGATGTGTTTAGTGATCAGTAGATTGGAGGGGGTGACACCAGAACAACGAGCTCAACTCATTGTTCTGGTGTCAGCATGGTTGGTATGTGTTTCCTTTAATTGTGTTCAGTTAGCGCCTGCTAAGCAAAAACATTTTATGAAAAGTTGTTTTTTCTCACTTGTCAACTGACTTTTGTGTAACACTGTACATCCCAGAGATCAATGCTACCCATATGAAAATTTCATATAAGACCATATATGAAATGGCCATATATTTAGCCAGTCCAACATACAGGGTGCAGCAGAATGGAGTCCCACATTTAAAAGGTCAATAAAAAAGAAACGATAAAAGATACAAAAAACAAACTTTTATTTCTGAAAAGTACATGTAATAAGGTTTCATTTACTTAGGTTTTAAAAATTATGTCGGGCAAATGGCGGCCGTCATGGATGATACACTTCCGAAGTGCTTCCCTGAAGTGTTGC